AATGGATTTATCGATGTTCTATAGATGTTCTATAAATAGTCTATAAATAGTCTAGCATGGAATGAAAAAATCAAAATTTTAATAGTGAAAAATATTTGTTTTTTTAATCTTTCAAATTTTTCATCCAAAAAATAATTTCCGAAAAATTAACATTTTATGTATCATAAAGTTTTAATTTTTGCTTTTTTTTTTAATTTTTTAATTTTTATTTTTATTATATTTTTTCTTCTATCACAAAATTTATTATTATTTTTAAAATAAATATGTAAAATTATATTTACAGTATAAATAAACAAATTGAAAATATTTGTGAAATGATAATTCTAAATCTAATTCGAATTTCATTCACCAAAATTATTTTACATTCGCATAGAAAAAAATATAATATGTTAAAAGAAAAAATATTGTTCAATAAAAATTTATAAAAAATCAACAAAAATAACAGTTTTTAAGTGATTTTCGACATTTTAAAAAATTTGTTGATTCGAATGATATGAACAATTTACACATTACTGGAGAAAAATTCTTATTCGTCATTTAAAACGAAAAAGACAAAATAGAATTTTATTTTATTCCTATTATAAACATCTGTATTCCCTTTCTCGTTCATCGAAAGCACGAAGTCGAATCGAAATTGATAATGAAATGTGAGAACACGTGGTCGTTCAAGAAGACGAATGGTCGAAGATGAATGAGAAATCTTGACCTCGTACGTCCGAACCAAACCGTGACGTCGTATTTCATGGCTTCTTGTTTTTTGTTTTGCCTTGTCAGCGAGATGGAAGTTTATAGTGGGTTTGTAGTTAACTATTTTTCGAATTAATTGCTCGATCAATTTTAGTCTTCGAGATTGTGAATATATTATTTCGTGACTGTTAAATGGCAGTAATTGGAAATTAATAAATTATATTTATTATATTTTTTTTATCAGATTTCGATTATTTTAATTATTGATTAAATAATAATAAAGTAGAATTATTTGAATCAATTGGAGAACAAATTTGTTTGGAAAACGATTTAAAATTAAATAATTTTTAAATATAGATATTTATTATGTAAAATTATACATATTTAATAATAAAAAGGCAATTGTAAATTAATCATTTTTAATATATATAATCTAGAATATATATATTCTATAATATAAAGATTGCGAGATAATTAAATACTAAATAACTTGAATGTATACAAAAATGTATAAATAATATTATATACATTTATAATAAATAAGTAATAAATTAATAATAATAATTTTAATAAATAAAAAGTATATATAAAATTGTAAATAATTTAAATATATATTCTCAGATAATTAATGTTCTACTTTTTAAATTTTTAATATACTACTTTTTTTACTTTTTAATATATAAAAACAAAAATGATAATTCTATGATTTAATAAAATTATAATAGAAAAATTTATAATTAATATCTTTTAATTACATATTATATTTATATTCTATAACAGATAATAATATTATACATATATTTGGGTATTACACAGAACAATTAGAGGAATGTTATGTTTGTTGTTATATTGGACTTCGTACTGAATGATATATATATATATATATATATTATGTCTCATTATTATATATTATAGAGTCAATCATCATCACGTAAATCAATCAATTAAAGAATGTTTACAATTTCAACTGTGAAAAAATAACTAAATTTATTCACAAAATTTCTGATTATCATATTTACACCAAATATATTTTATATTTAAATATATATATATAACAGTCATATCGAAGGATTCGTAATGATTAATAAGAAATTTATAAATAAAATACATTTCACGAATCGTCATTTGAATATTGAAACTAACACATTCAACGCGTCATATAACACGAATAACATAAATAACATGTTTACATTTTCGTGTCAAGTTTTTGTTTCATATATTTTCCTAATAAAACAATAACAAAACATTTTCGTGAAAAGCATGAATGAAAGAATCCTGTCGAAACTAAATATATCTTCAGCGCATTATACTCGTAAAAACTCGTATTATACGCGAATTTGAACGAATCGTGTAAACGTGATACGCAAATCCGATGATATCGGCAAAATCGGTCAAAGGATCAATCGCGATTTCCGTCGAATCGATATTAATCTTTCTCATACGTTCTCCACGAGTAAGCACAATATCGATGTGAAATCGACTCGTGGGTGGAATAATTCCTTGTCCCTAATTCACGATGGCCGTGTATCGCGTACACGTATCAGTAGATCGCGTATTTTCGCGTTTCACGGATTAAGAGGGCGGGCGTCCTCTTTGGTTATAATAGAACGACGAGAGAATGGCCGTTTGTACGTCAAGCTTTACGGGATATAATGGGAAGGGTCAGTGGCGACAAATCGATAAACCGTCGAACAATAAAGCGCGGAGGGCGGTTTACCCTTGTTCCAAAGAACCCAATCGTTCTTCCGGTAAACACTTTTCCACGATTTGCCGAGTAAATTTTCTTCTCCTTCCGGTGGACGGTGTGCACGTTCGTTCGTTTCACGAGAGTCGACCGACCGACCGCCCCCCTCCCTCCCCCTTGATCGTTGGGGCAAATTGTCGGTGAACGGGTAAAATAATAAGTCCGATTGTGGAATCGAGGCTTGGTGAAATGATGTTATTCTTGTCACTGGAAGAGGGAGTTTGTGTAGGATGGGGATTTCTAGTGTTTTTATTGTAGGTGGGTTTAGAGGGATAAATGGAATTTGTCCGTTTTGATACCGTTTACTTTGTTGAAATGAAATACGATGTGAAATGTGGCAATAGAAGGTTGTTAATTTGTATATAAAAGATTCAAGGATATTTATAATTTTGTTTTTGTATGAAGAAGTTGAAATTTTAATTGATTTAAAAGCAAGAAAGCATTTTTATTTCTTTATTTAAATTTAAAATAGAATCGATTAATATATAAGCAGAATTTTGTTAAGAGAAGGTTTAAATATTGTTATATTCGATAAAAATTATTTTTATTATTATTATGATGTTGTTATATATATTTATTGTTATTACTATTTTTATTATTGTTTTATATATTTATTACTATTTTAATCTTTTTTTAATCATTAAATTTAAAATTTTTTTAAAAACTAATAATAATAGATCGAATCTGCTTTTCTGTTTTATTCAGAACGAAAATTTCCAGGAGACAGTGATGCAATAATATCGCATCGTGGTATAGAATTATTGACTTGTTTCTCGATTTCAC